CCCCCCCGGCCCAGACAGGCGATCTGGGGCGGGCTCTCGGGGTCCACCTCCGCGTCCTGAGGCTCGGGGGCGGGCTGATGCCCCGGGAGGCGGAGAGCGGGGCCCGCAGGGAAGGCCTGTGCTGAGGGGCTCCGTGTGTGGGCCCGCCAGCCGCCCAGTGCTGCCCAGTGGGCTCTCCCTCTCAGTGCCCCCTCTCGACAAGGCTTCTCGACTTCGGCGTATTGGAATCTGCTTCTGCTGCCGTAACTGCTTCTCCCTCACGGGTTTTTACGTGAAATGCCTTTCTTATAGCTTTGAGTCCCATCCGGCACGCCAGGTGTTACACCGGCCCGAGGCTCCTCTTGCATTTGAAGAACGTGACCTCAAATAGCCCTCTCTTGGGCTTTGATGGTCTGGGTTACAGAACATTGATGGTTTGCGTTACAAGGTCTTCGAAGTTACAATTTACAGGGTGTCAAAACCCTGCAAGGAGTTTTTAGAGTCCAAAAATGAGATTTTTAAAATGCATCAGTGTCTCAGACTTAGCAGGTCTCTTGTAGCAGATACTAGAGGTAGACACATCAAGAAAAAATGATCGTCTGGCGTTGTCACGGCTTTGTTGCTATGTCTGTACAAGCTGTAAGCATCCAAGAAGTGAGCCTTCCTAGTTACAGCTGTGAGGTGCCAAAGCGACAAACTCAGAGAAGGTTCTTAGAACATGGATATCTAAAAATAAGTTAAAGCTTTAAGTTCCTGTTTTCTGAAAGTTTTATTTTCTGTTTTTTATTTTAACTCTGTCTACATTATACGCATCTTTTCTTGAGAACTTTGTTATCAATAGCTTGATTTTATGCCTACGGGGTGCTATTTCTCAGCTAGGTTTTCATGTGATGCCTCGTATTCCCCCTCTCACTGCAATGACTAGTTGTAGGGGTTTGTGTGAGTCAGGGAACAGTTAATTAGCTTTAATTACTGGCAGTGGCTTAGCTTCCCCAGAAGGGAGGTGGAGGACAGGCCATAACTACCTGGCTGTTGGCAGTAATTAAGACTAGTTAACTGTTCTGTGGCTGAAGTCAAGATGCTGTAATCTTCCCCCATGAATTCACCTGCAAACCACTTAGCAGTAAATTTACAGTTTAGGAAACTGCATTAGTAATTATCATAAGAGGTATATTTCTTCTAAATCTTATCCTATAATTGCTTTATTATGGCAAATAATTTAGTGATAGTTGCAAATTGAAGGAAAAACTTTCCGGAGTATATGCTAACAGAAACACTTTCGATGACAGTTAGATTTATGCTAATAAAGACTTAACTCCAGGTAGAATTCTAGCTTCAACTGGAATGTTATCAAGTATTGATCATGTTGAACAGAAGCTTAAATCTAACATAGACTTCAGGTGAAACGGCTCTTTGTAGACAAATATTAGGTGGTTGGCTGAGAATTTTTTTAAATAAATTAGGAGTATGAACTTGAAATGCTGGTAGGCATTTTACAGCAATTTCAGTGGAAAGACCATGGGAGAATGATGGCAATAAGAAGAAAGATCAATTTAAAGAAAAACAATTAAAATAAGATTATTGGGCTAGTGTTTGCTGTGTTTTTTTACGTATATATATGTGTGTGTGTGTGTATATATATCTCATGGCAGTAAAAGTTTCTACAAAACAAAGTCATCAAAGCCATGCTGCAACAAATAATCCCTGAGACAGCTGGCAAAAGGCAACCCTTTTTTTTTTAATTGCCATTATACAGATAATAGAACTTAATGGTTTTCTGATGTTCTTAATACTCAAAAATGTGATACTTTTTTCTGCATGGAGGGGCTGTTTAAGATATTCTAAATCTAACTCTCAGTATTTTTGAAGATGTCTAAAATACTCTGATTTCTCAACTGTATCAATTTTCTTTTCCATAAGTGGGAATGTTTCTTGCATTTAGCGTAACTCCATCGTTGTACTTTTTAGCTAAAGTTGTGTGAAGCTACTTTGACTGTGCTTTTATTACATCTAAACGATCGTTGCATTGGTTTTCTCTGCCTGTTTAAGAAATGGGTATGCATGGGGAAAAGTGAATTCCTTTTATCATTTACATTGAAATTTTACTATATAGATGAAGATCTAATTATGCTTGATATACATCCTCCCCAGATCTCAAAGCTTTTGAAAGAAGACTTACTGAATATATTGCATGTTTGCAACCAGCTACAGGACGTTGGAGAAGTAAGTTTGATGTTGCAAGAGATAAATAGGATTCTCTTTCAAGCTTTTTAGATTTACTGGTGTGTATCTTTGATTTATGCTTGTCCAAACAAAAATCTATGCTTAAACTCTCTTTAAAATTTGTGGCATACATTCAAACACTCTGCAACAAGATAATACAAGATAACAAACTAATACTGTAGCTAGAGTTAGAAAATGAGGTCAAGATTGAATTGGCTCAAGGCTGAATTATTCTGGAAATAGTTGGAACAGTAAGCTGTTGTATTTGTTTCCGGTTTGGTTTGTTTTTTTGTTGTTGTGGTTTTGTTTTTTGTTTTTTTTTTTTGAAGGCTCAGACTTTCCAGACAGTCAGTCACTGTAGTTACTTGAACTAAATATGATTGGGTTAGATAGCCCCTGTAAAATTGAAGGTGAAACAGTTTCAGCAGGGTGCCATGAGGGCAGAATATGTCCTCCTCTCCATTCTAACAGGAAAGTTTGAAGGCAAGGGGAAGCCAAAAAATACCCTGGATAGGCTGCCAGCTCTGGGATCAGTAGTCTGTGGTGGAAATAGACTGCTTTTTTGTTCTAAGATTCTGCTAAAGTTTCCATATCCAAAGAATACAGACGTTTTTTAGAACGTATAAAATAACATCTTTTCTCCTGAGAGGCCAAGAGCCTAATTTCAAATGAAGGAACTGGAGGAATGGTTATTTAAAAAGCAAAACCAACAATAGCAAAAAAACCCCACGCCAAAACACAAATGAACACATGCTGCCACCCCCTCCCCCCCCCAAACCCTCCTGTTTCAGAGCAATTCGGAGGCAAGCAGATACTTGTAAGTAGATGTGTGCGACTCGTGTGTGCCTACCGTAAGAATGCATTTGGCTTCCAGAATTGCTATTTACTGTCAGATTTAATTAAAAAGAAAAAGTACCAGAAACTTCTGAGCATATTTAAATGAGGTTTGCATAACTAGTATTGTGTTCAGTAGCTAACTTTTTTTCTAACTGCTTGTTTTGCTAGTTTTATAATTCATGTAAAAGAGGGATTTTTTACTTTATAATGGGGTATTTAACTCAATGTTAAATTTTCCTCCTGCTATCTGGGAAAAAAAAAAAAAAAGATTTATATAGAGAAGAAACTCTATGCTTTTGTTAGAACTTTTCCAACTTTCTTTCGAAAAACAACTTTTTAGGGTTACTTTTTAATTTTGCTTTTAATGTTGTAGTGTCAATAAGGAGTATGCAACTCAGTAGAAAATTATAGAAGTCTTGCAAACCTGAAACTAGTATTTAATGAATATCTGGGTTTTGTTTTCAGATTCTTTCCTATGATCCTAAAGGCCGGTAACTCTGGGTCTGGGTGTTGGGTTTTGTTCCCCCCCGCCCCCCCCTTTATTTGCATCAAGAACTTCAGGCTCCATAGAAAACACTCAGAACTGCCAAATGTCCACTGAAAGCTGCAAGGTTTTATGGGTGTGCAACAGAATATGAGCTTTCTCTACCTTTATATTTGTTCTGTTTCCTTTTTACAATAACCCCTGCTGCCCAACCCTTTGTAGTCTCTTAAAATCAGTCTATTATCTTGTATTACTCCGATATGTATCTAGCATTATCCATTTACAGTGAATTGATTATTCTTCCTAAGCCATCCTGGATGTGTAGAGGTTTTTGTTAATCTTTGTGTGCTAATGCTAACATGCCTTCAGACTCCTGTTTAAATTTTGTGGTTTTTTTTCTCTGTGTCAGCTTTCCTTGCTTGTAGTCATGTTGATTGGGGTGGGGAGCCGAACGGATGTGCTGCTGAAACTGCTGGTGCTAACGCCTCAGGCTTTTCTTATGTAGAAGAGCTAGCTAGTGGGATAGAAGCTTTAGTTCTGCTCTGCAGTTTAATGGTGCTGCATTTCTGATGCCCAGACTGCATAAGCTCAAGTAGCATACTGAATGTTGGTACAACTCTTATTCCAGTCTTTCAACTCATGTTTTTGCTAACCATGTTATTTTAGAAACTTTCATTTCTTCAGAGCATCGGGATGGTTTTGCTTGACAGAATTTAGATTTTGATACCTATTTGTCCTATCCAGGAAACTTGTACAGAATCTTTACGGTTTCACATAATAGAAGTTTCTCTACCTGTTTTCATTTCTGCCTTCCAAGTAGAAGCTTTTCCTCCCTCAGAAGTGGGAGAAGAAGTAAATGCTTAAGAGCTACTGCTGAAAAATAGATGTGTTTTAATAGGAGTGAGCTATACTGCTTATAACTCTTGTTCTTTTCTTTATCAGTGATTCTGATAGTCGTATCAGTCTGCACAGCAACTGGTGCTTGGAACTGGTTAATAGACCCAGAGACGCAAAAGGTAAAGATCAGGCTAATCCTGAACGTAGTCTTTCACAGCTTGGTGTTGTAGTCAAGTGGTATAAGTATCTTGAAAACCGAAAGGCTAAAGGTCTTTCTCTCCTGAAACTGGGGGAGACAGTTTTTAGTTCAGCTCTCAAGCTTTCTGGAATTGTTGTGGACTATGTCCTGGGACAATGCCTACCAAAATGCTTGCTTAGAAATGGCTAGGAACAGTATTTTATTTTATTTTACTTTATTTTATTTTTAATTAAGTGAACTAGGCAGCAACTTTCTGTATGTTTTAGAAAGTATGTAGCAGGACTAAACTGATTTCTTTCCTAGGTGTCATTTTTCACATCACTTTGGAATCACCCGTTTTTCACAATTAGCTGCATTACCCTAATAGGCTTGTTCTTTGCTGGAATACATAAAAGAGTGGTGGCACCATCAATGTATCCTTCCATGGTGTTTGTCAGGTTAAAAGTGTTGTAGTTACTGCTGTTACTGAAGCCTAGGCTAGTACTGCTTCTTCAGTTTTTACTTTGTGTACAAGCGTTAGCTGCTTTCCTTGACACAATCCACACAGTATAGCAGCCCGATGCCGAACTGTTTTGGCAGAATATAATATGTCCTGTGATGATGTAAGTGTTAGTGGTTCATTGCCTAAACCTGTTTTTTTTTTAAAAAAATGCAAATAATTTGAAAAGGCACACAGGTTTTTTTCTGAACAGCACTTGTATACACCTTAACAATCTGTAAAACGGAAATGTAGAATGCTTAGTATTGTTCTGTGTATCGTTTTAAACCACTTTGCCTGTGAAATTGAACTTGAAGTGCAATCATTAGGCTCAACTTTCAGGGTCTAAACTATTTCTTTTTTGTCTTGCAGACTGGAAAGTTAATTTTGAAACCTAGGCCTCATGTTCAATAAGGGCTGTCTTCCTTCAGTTTTTTCCACTGCCATGGAAACCAAAAATGACCTTTTTAAGGTAGTATGACAGCAAAAAACCAACAGGACTGGTTGTCACTGCCTGGGAGTGAAAGTCTTACACAGTTGACAGTGAAAGTGTGCAATATTACTTTCTTGAATATTTATCCAAATTCTTTGTTATCATCTTTTCAGTGCTTTTGCTACTTCTGATTACCTCTTTTTCAGTATTAGTGTCACTTTTTTACTTCAGCTAGAACAGAGCATACAGGTGAAGTATGTTAATCGGCTACGAAGTTGAACTTGAAAATCAAACCTCATTTGTGTTATGTGTCTTTGTAAGCTATTGTAAATAGCAGATCGATGCCAATGTTCAGGAAAAGAAGTAATACTTGCTGTATAGATTGTTTTGTTCTCACAAACAGTATTGAAAGGAACACTTACCATTCCCATGATGTTTTATTAGCACACTTACTCATGACAGCTGTCCTTGTCTCCTGGTCATTCTTTTTGGAACTGGTTAAAAGGCTTGCAGAAAGACTGTCTGTCTGTGCTGGAGAAAACTGGTCTTATTGTTTAAGAACTTTGCAAATATATCAAGGATTGCATCTGTCAAATTGTATATATAGTGCACCAGCCACTTTTGTTGTGGTCATGTGTAGCTCCTTGTTTGATCTGGTTCACACCACTGCTATTTTAAAATTTTAATATTTTAAAAACTGTCTTAAGTATGCTTGGATCTTCCCGATTGTAAGGTTGTACTGTATCTTAAGTCCACATTGACCATTCTGAGTGGATTTTTATGCTGTGATAGTCTGAATGTGAAACTAGTATTGCAAACGTATAACATCAGATTTGGTGAAGAAAATTTAAGAGAGTGCCACAATAAAATAACAAGATTTGTTATTCAGAGTGTTAAAAACAAGGTGCAGGTGTGTGTAAGGTGTAACTTTTGACTAGGTAAAATTGTAAAGAGTTTTAAGAGTTTAAGTTGTTCAAGGTGCCTTTTTAATTGTTTCAAACTCTTTTAATTGACTAAAACTGCAAAGCTGTTGCAACTTCAGTAACTCCTGCTACAAGGTAGACTGGCTTTTAAAGGCAGCCTATTGATGTAACTTTCTCAGTTGAGACAGTAAGAATTGTCTCCTCTCACTTTTCCAGCAAGTCTTCTGCCCATCCATTATTTTTAACTGCTGTATATTTTGTAGGTTAATGTGTATAAAATAAATTCTTTATATAAACAGATGTTATCTTCTCTTGTACTGTGCAAATACAGATCTCAAATGAACACTGAAGAACTTCAGAAGTTGCTAGCTGAAGTCTATAACTTTTTTACCAGACCAACTTTTCCTGTATTTGCTGTGGTTCTTACAATTAAGATACTGACACCAGAGGGACGGTCCTTCCCCCTTCCCATCCTCCAGGTCAATCCTGCCTTCTGTAAGTGCCGTTAGAGGAAATCGTTTCATTCCACATCCACCTCCTTCGAGTTTCTGACCTGGGGAAACACCCAGCCCGGGCAGCCCGAGCCCGCGGAGGGGCGGGGGGGACGCTGG